TGCCTTGCTGGGTTGCATCAAGGCTGGACTAAGTATGTGGCTTCATATTTCGACTTTGCTTTGGAATTCTCTGTATCCCCTAACCCAGCTCTGCTCTCAAATGCCTTCCAGACAACCCACCTGACTCCTCAAACCAGTATATGGAACCCGGGCCAGATCCTGCAGTCTCAGGAACCCAGGCACGATCCTGCAGAGACCCAGCACCTGAGCTCTGCTGGTTATGAATTGGAAGATGAGATGAAGGAGCTCAGGAAGCACCTGCCCAGGGATGTGAAGGGCTGGGCCACCTGATGAATGATGATTACAGCAGGGCTGGAATCAGGGCTCAAGGACATGTGGGTGGACTTAGTATGAGACAACTCCAATGGAGTCCAGATTCTGAAGGCCAAAAAGGAAAGGGAGAGAGGAGAGAAAGAAACAGAGACATAAGAATACAACCTAGCCTTGAACCAGGGTATGAAAGCTCTTCCTCCAAGCCTGAGGTTGTAGATGGGTGTGAAACTGGGAAATATCTGATTGGCTCCAGGCCACAAAATTGTACAGTTCTCTTCAGTACTCAGTCAATATTATGAACAATCATGAGATAGTTTAAATCTCGAGCTAAACCATTTTACTCTCGATGCTGTATGCTGTCTTCAATTCCATTTTCTTTTCTTTTTTTGCAAATTGAGACTGCCCCAAATAACTCAGGATGGGGCTTGTAACACAAAGTAGAGTTTAAGAAGCAGGTATTCAAATAGTAGAACGAACATCTGATACTTATTCTGTAAGCATGGAGCACAGAGGTCAATCAGTCAGAGTTAACGTGCCCCCGCTTTCCTGAATTCCAATCCAGGGGAAGGGCTGAATTCTCAATAATAGCCAACTGTATGTCGCACACTCAGCTGAATGCCAGGTATGGACATAAGGATGATACGCTTTCTAATCTCCAGAAAGTCCCAGTGCAGTAATGAGGTCACAGCCTAAATTATTCCAATGCAAAATCAATGATGATCAGTAAACAAGGTTCAAAGGGCTAAGAGTAAAGCCTAATTACGAATACAGTCACTACCCACGATCTCATTCCTTGGTTTTCTCTGTGGTTTGATCTTCAGTATCCTGGCCATCTGAAGCAGAGACACGTCATTCATGGAAGATGCCATAGTCATATAGGTGAACATGTGGTTTGAGTTTTACTTTGGGTCCTAGGAGACCACTGTGTGTTGAAGTTCAGTGAGTGGTGGAGATTCAAGGAAATTAGATTTCAAACAGCATGGAAGACACGGGAAAGGAAGCAGTTTAACTAGTTGCATTAAAAGAAAAAATATATTGGTCTTATAATTGGAAGATATAAAAATGAATTGTTTTATTTTTTATCTGTTAGATAAAAAGATTATAGAATCCACTTTTAGCAGGAACTTCCCAATGACGTAGCAACTGACAATTCAGCCACAATTGTAAAGATTACTAATAAGGATGAGATATTATACATATTTTTGTGCTTTTAAGAAATGGTCTACAGGTATTTGTCTTAATACTGTGTTTATGCATAGAATTTTGCCACACTCATTTCTAACCAGGCACAGAAATCACGTTCCTTGGGATGGGCAGAAGATGGTTTAAGTATAATGGGTGGGAGGAACTTCCTAGATTGGACATTGATTCATTGTCAAACACTTACCAAGGACCATGATTACAACTAACCATTCAGGGAGCATCACAGAAGGTTATCAGGTTGTTTATTTGTATATAGTGAAACATCTTGTTAAATTTCATAGTAAACATGTAGAGACAAAAATGTGAGCTGGGTTCAAGTTGTGATGCTTATAGCTTTATCACGTACTGTTAACATGATTGTAATATTTCAATCCTAAGCTAACATGACTTTTCCTTAACATGCTGATAAAAAGTCTTAACCAACAACAGTAAAGGCTGAAATTTCTGGTTGAAAATAGTAGAACTTGCATTTATGGGGACGTGGGAGAAACAGGAAATCCTCCTTACTGCCAATGTGAAAATCAAAGGTTCTTGTAAGATATGTTTCATGCACTGAGGTATAGTTCATTAAAAGTAGAAACCCAAGCCCAAAGGCCTGTAGGAAACCATTACCCATTGAAAAGAGACAGTTTATATAAAAATGTATACTGAGCCTCATCACACCGGTGGACAGTATGATAACTCCCTCTTGAAGGCTGTATCATCAGTGCTGTGTGGGTGTGGGTGTGTATCTCAGTCACTCCCCTTCTCTGCTGAGACCTTAAGCAGAGGTCTCATTTATTAATCTTTCTCATTTTTCAATATCTTACACATTTTAATGAGTAGCCAATTAATAACTTTTCAAATTTTGGAGGAGACTAGACTAGAATAGAATAGAAATTAGAAGAAAGAAAAATGCCAGGATTAGTATTGACAACTTCTAATGTTATGTTCATGCATAGAATTTTGCCACACTCATTTCTAACCAGATGTAGACATCACTTTCCTCATGATGGACAGAAGATGGTATAAATACAATGGGAGGGAGGAACTTTCTTGATTGGACATTGATTCATTGTCAGACATTTACTAAGGACCGTGATTACAACTAACCATTCAGTGAGCATCACAGAAGGTTTCAATTATTTCCTATTGGTTGGTCCCACATATTTAATGATTACCAATGAAATTAGGGCTGATCATTAGGAAGTTAATTTGTGAATCAGAAGGCAGCCTGCCTCCAGAAAAGGGATACTCGAAGAAAAGGCTGAACACATTAGTCAAGGAAGAGTTGCAGAGGGCTTTTTCAGATCAACGTGTACACACACTGCCCTAAGGTGCTTTCCAGCCTGAATTTCATTAATTCTATTTGGAAATAGTAACTTTAGAAATATGCTACAAAGAACCAAACATAATCACACATTGCCAGGCAACATTCTTCTGGCCAAAGAGGTCTGATTTGGAATCTTTGACAGAGTTATTATTTTAACAGCTTCACAGCTCAACCTGGTGAAAATCATTTCAAGAGGGAATGATCTAAAATGCTTCTTTAAAAGGGCCATTCTTTTACTTTGAAATATCAAAATGCCTCTCACCACCTTTTCCCTAGCAGAAAGTTAGTTCCTCTCTGGCCCTTACCACGGATTGTGTCAGAAACAAAGGTTGACCACCACAAGATGGCATTTATAAAATTTTACACAAAGATGCTGTCAATATTTGCCTAGTTAAATTATCTAAGAAGTTGAGAAATTTGGTTTATATTTGAAGATCAGCGAATGCCAAAAATACCAATTTGAATTGTATAATCTTTCCCAGCATTACACGAAAAGTGGTGATAGAGCCTATCTTAATACGTCTATGGAACTTTTTAGATCTCAAAAAACTATGTTCAGTAGCATTTTAACATGACACCTATTTTATTTTAATTCTTAAAAAATCATATTCTGCATTCATATTCAACATCAGGCCTGAAGCCTTCTTTCCTATCTTCACAGGTTTTATTCCATCTCCTCCTCAGCTGAATGCTAGGTAGAGACATAAGAGCAACATGCCTCCTGCCCTCTAGGAAGCCCCAGTGCAGTACTGAGGCCACAGCCAAGTAATTCCAATACACACCCAAGGGTGATCAGCAAAGGAGACTCAAAGAGCTAAGAGAGTGTGAAGCGGGAGGCTAATTGCAAATAGGTTGATTCCCCAAAATCTCATTCCTTTGTCATCTCTGGGCTTGATCTCCAGCATCCTGGCCATCTGAAGCAGAGACACGCACTTATTATGTGGCCTTGGACAACCTCTGAAGCTCAGTTTTATCATGTGTAAAATAGAATTAACTATAACAGCAAAAGATGTTATGAATATGAAATTAGACTATCTGGGTCAATTATAGTGGGCTAGAGATTCATTTCATTCAACTTCTCCAGATTCCCTCCAGGCTCACAGATTCTTGGGGTCTGCCCCACGGCTGCCCCAGCAGTCAGCAAAGAACACAACCCTCCTCCCAGCCAGACCCTCCCTAGAGAGCTAGGGTCTGAGTTCTCAGCATCAGCATCACCACAGATAATGCAGGTTATCTGCCTCCACCCCAGACATCTGAGTCAGAGACTCCAGCATGGAGCCAGAAGAGTCTGTGCTGCACGCACCCTCTAGGTGATTCTGATGCTCCCAACATTTGAGAACCATCCTTCTTTTCCTCCCACTGTCCCCAAGATCCTTAAATTCTTTCAATCCCTTTGTACCACCCACTAACTCACCTCCTCCAGCCTCCCTTTTATAGGTTGTATTGTCTATAGTAAGTCATTGCAGAAATTCTCTCCTGGAACCAAACACTAACCATGGGTAGGAGAAGAACATACTCTCAGGTGGTAGAGTAACTAAAAGCAACCCAAGACTTTCTTTCGAGTAGGATTATCTTTTTAGGGCTAAAAGATATCTCTGCTTCACAGCCACACATTTCATTACAGTGGGCCCCATCTGTTGCCATTAGCTAAGCATGTGCTGGAACAGGAAAGAGCTTGGAGCAGCCCCTTCCCATAAGAGGTATCATTCACATCAGAATGACTAAATTGTCACAGGAACCTCTAACTCTGTCCTTAGAATAAATTCCTAGAAGTCTGCTTCTGGTTGGGCCAAGATAGGTATCTTTTGTGGCAGATGTATTTCAGTAAGTTAAAAACTCTGTCTTTGAAAGTGTTTGAGACCTCTCAAAGAAGAATCCTTTGAATGAAAAAGCTTCTGATTGTACGTGAAGTAAACCTAGAAGACTTTCTGAAAGTCCCCCACCGTCTGTGGTCATGGGACTCACAGACTCTGTGTTAAGAGTTCTGCATTGTCTATTCCAGGAGTTGCATCACAGACATCTGTGACTTACCTGACTCTGGGATGTGTTTTGTGAAAGCCATCCCTGTTTATTAAAGATATATTCTTGATAAACATTCTGAAAAAGTGGGGAAAAAAACATTTCCTTTAAAAGTATGAGAGCAGATGGATATGGAAAGACATTCTTTTGGTGACAGCCATGAAGATTGCTGACCTATGCTTTTGCTTTACAGGAATGTTAGTTCGGCCGGAGAGGAGGCTCGCAGAAGGATGCGAGAGTGTGATGGACTCACAGATGCCTTGCTGTACGTGATCCAGTCTGCACTGGGGAGCAGTGAGATCGATAGCAAGGTTGGTTGTATTTGCATAGATTAAGCATGTTCAAGAATAAAGACTCCCACAGGACTAAACTATAGCTAACAACCCAGAAGAGCCAACACAGTGTTTCAGACTTTCCTTCTGAACTCTCTCCTGATTTCCTTGTAAGAATCCAACACTTTTTACACTGGGCTTCAGATTCAAGCATGGTACTAGATACGTAACTTCTGATTAGCCATGAGTAAATATGTAGATTGTTCTAAGTTATTCAAACCACAGGTGTTCCGGTTGAGTGTATAAACTTGAATACTACATTGCTCACAGGCTTCTGATTTTTATTTAATGTAATCCACTGTCAAAAGAAAAGACAAGATGTTAAAACTATCTGACAGAAACTCATTTTGTAACCCAGGCTCTGTTACCCAGGAGTGCAGTGGTGCAATCAAGATTCACTGCAACCTCCACCTCCTAGGTTCAACTGATTCTCCTCCTGAGTAGCTGAGATTACAGGCATGAGCCACTGCATCCAGCCCTGAGATTTGAATAATCCCATAGTCTTATAAACTTGCTTTTTAACAACTGTCAATTACATTAAGTGCTATTTTAAAAGGCCTGCAAGATCTAAATAAATGTCACAATGCTAAATAAATGAGGCTTCCCAACATAATAAATCACCAAAGTCTATTCAGTGTCTTAGTTCATAAGCCAGAATAGAATTGGGTGGGCTTTTCTGGTGTTTGAGCTATTTTGTTTAGTCTTAAATAAGTTTGATTCATTCATATGTTTGTAAAGTGATTTCATAATATCCTGTTACAAACACAAACTTTTACCAATACTCATAAAGTAATGCAGGTAATAAATGTGATTTCTTAATAAGAATTTCTCAAGAGCCACCCTTATCGACATTCTTGGCCAAGTTCTTCTTTGTCATGGGACTGTCTCATGCGCTGCAGGATGCTTAGCAGCATCCCTCGCCTCTGCCCACTGGATACCAGTAGCAGCCCCATCCCCACCCTAGTAACAAACAAAAACATCTCCAGACACTGTCACACATCCTGTGGAGAGCAAAATTATCCCTGGTTATGAAACTCAGCCTTAATCCTGTGATTTTCATTCTGTCTCTTTATTAGAAGTGCCTTTGGAGTGTTCATGTAAATACATCTGCCCAGACCCTATTGCAGTCCTCTGAACCCAACTGTCTAACTCTGGTCTCAAGTTTTTGTACCTTTAGAAGTTCATCAAGTCATTTTTTGTATATCTTAGATTAAGAAGCTGCCATAGTAGATAGAGCTCTAATATGACTCTAATTGGGAATCTGGTATAATGTAATTTAGTTACAAAGTTAGATAAAGAACATATAAGTGTTTCTATCCATGTAGTCATGAATTGGCTGTGTGTATAAGTGAGCACAGCACTTCTCAACCCTGACTACACATCAGAGTTACCAAGAAATTTAGAAAATCACTAATGCCTGAGTCTTACTCCCCAAAGATCTGAATGCAAGGTACCTCTGGGACTTCAGCCCTGTGAGTACGAGTCCACCGCAATTATGAGCACTGCTTGTCATCTTTTACCTTCTGCGCAGTTAGGCTCACATCCGTTCATTGACTGTATGTTTTTAATTTCAAAGATGAACATGATGTACCAAAGAGCAGGCATTCCCCTTTCACAGAAGCCCTTAAGTGACCATTTTAGACCTTTTAATATCATCGGCAGGAAAATTAAATCCCTAATCAAGTGACCAGTCAAGATGTCTTGAGTATTTACAAATGCTTGTTAGCGTAACGCATGCATTTTCAAAGAGCTCCTGAAAGTAAACCACTGAGACGGCGTGCTCAGCATCCTCTATTCAGAGTGGTGAAAGAGTGAGGCACTGGGAGACTGTACCTTTGACTGTGATGGTTATGAAAAGAGCTTTGATACTGGCTGGACCTTGCAGCTGAAAATAAGAGTCAACAGCCTCATGCTTTGGCCAAGTGTGGTCACCGGCACCAAAGGTTAAGGAACTCTTCAGGAGCCATGCCAAGAACCCACAGGGCACGAGCATCTCCTTTCTGATGTTTCAGACAACCAGACTCCTAAAACCCTGGGAGACTTTGTAGTGCATCTTTTCTAATGTCCGAATTTTTCCCAAAAGGGGAAGTTGAAATAATTGGGAGTATTCACGGCTGGAGTCAGAAAAGTCAGTATCCCTGGCGGAGTAAGAAGAGCCCTGAGCTGGCATCAAGACAGGGCCAGTGCACTGTGCCATCTCCACCTCCCACTGGCTGGAGCGTCACACCCAAGTGACCTCAACTCTGTGACAAGGAGCATAATCATAGCTGAATGCTAAGGCTGTTGGAAGGATCAGGTGTGATCAGTTACTCAGCAGGTGCTTCACTGGCTGGATTGTGCTACGTATTATTTTTTATGTTATTATTATTTTAACATATTATTATTGTACCATCATTTTCCACTCAGCCCTCTGCTTGGCTGCTTTTGAGCTTTAACAATGACAACTTGAGGGTGATGGGGCTGAACGAGTACACCTTCTTTTTAAGGCCCAAGAAGTTAATATATAAAAGAGCCTGGATTCCATGCAAGATTGTGGCTCTGGTCCTGCCACTGGGCCAGTGTGTTGACTGGATAACATGTGGTAGACCACTCTTACAACTTTCGGATTAACCCTTTCTAATAGAAAATGAGTCAGAATGATCCTAATAGTCAAAAAGAACTGCAGACAGCCCTGCTGACAGCAGTGGACATCCCAGGCAAAGCTGCCAGCTGCCATGCTCCTGCTGGGATCCCTAGGATTTTGCCTTCTCTTTGTCCCCGTCCATTACAGAAAAGCTCTCGAATTAAGTTACTCTTCCAAACCAAGCCAGACTGAGAAACTCCAGGAGGCTTAAATGAGAGTTAAGTGTGGTCCCTGTGACCTTCCTTCCCACATTCCTCCCTCCCCACCCAGCCCCATCCCCACTTTTTCTCTCTTCTTCCAGCTTCTTCCCAAATCATTTCCCCAGCTGCAGCAGCTCGATTATAAAGCATTTTTCGCAACTGCAGATTTATTCCCCAGTCGTCATTTGTTAAACAGAGGAACAGCAGTGCCTCCGGGGAAGACGAACAGTGGGATGAGAAAGAAGTTTATTCCTCCAAGTCTTTGATGTAAGAAGAATCAGTTTGAGCTGACTTAAAAATCATTCTGACTTATGCCATAACATTTTCCTTTCAATGAGAATCGTTTCTTTCATGCATCGCCCTGAGTTTACCTGCTTTCATGCCAGCCAGTCCAGTTTTTGATGCTGAGAGGACGCTTGGAATAGAAAACCAGGTTGACTCAGAGCCTGTGGGATTAGCAGCCCATGACACCTTGAAAAGCTGACAAGAAAGGTGTGGAATGATAAAGGCTCCAGAGATACTTCCTGAAAACTAGTTTTCCTCGTAGATTTTCACGCCCTTGGTAATAAGTACAAGGCACCCGCTACCTTTCACCAAATTCCAGCCAATGGAGGGAAACAGTGCAGGCCTGCAATCCCAGCAGCCCTGGCTCATTCCAGTCCCTCCCCAGGACTGCGCAGAAGCAGCTCAGTCTGGTGGGAGATACTCACGGTTCGCCTCTCCTCCCTTCACCCGTACAGTGGAATTGTGTTACGTGCCTTCACGGTGGCTATTACGTAGCAGGTGCCTGAAAAATGATAGCCAACTTGGTAAGATTCTTAAAATAAAACTTGGCTCAGTTTATTTTTTTTTTCTCATCATTATTTCACCTCTTTTAAAATTTGGGTATTTTCCCCCTCTTTCCATGATTCCTGCAGTCAAAAGGTCAGTTTTGTCTTTTTTTTTTTTTTTCCTTTTTTTTTGTGTGTGTGATGGAGTTTCGCTCTTGTTACCCAGGCTGGAGTGCAGTGGCGCGATCTGGGCTCACCACAACCTCCGCCTCCTGGGTTCAGGCAATTCTCCTGCCTCAGCCACCTGCGTAACTGGGATTACAGGCACGTGCCACCATGCCCAGCTAATTTTTTGTATTTTTAGTAGAGACGGGGTTTCACCATTTTGACCAGGATAGTCTCAATCTCTTGACCTCACAATCCACCCACCTCAGCCTCCCAAAGTGCTGGGATTACAGGTGTGAGCCACCACGCCCGACCAGTTTTGTCTTAACCAGCAAACTTTTTCTTCAAAAGGTCAGAGAATAAATATTTCCAGCTTTGTGGGCCATATTGTCTGAGTCACAGCCATGTAATTCTGCATCACAGCATGAAAGCAGCCACAGACCATTCATAAATAAATGGGTACGGCTGTCCTCCAGTAAAACAGCCAGTTTGTAAAACTGGCTGTGGGCTGGATCAGACCCCTGGGCAGCAGTTTGCTCACCCCTCTTCTTAGCAATCAGAAGTTATTACAACTGATATTTTAGCAAACACTTTTGAGCAGACACTATTCAAAGAGCTATATGTATTAGCTTGTTAACCCTCACTGCAGCCCTGTACATGATACCATTAATATGACCCTCAGCTTACAAATGAGGAAATAGAAGCACAGAAGGATTCAGCACTTTGCCCAAGGTCCCACAGCTTGTTAAATGGTGGGCCCAGGATTGGATGCCAAGCTGGTTAGCCCTACGTCACACGCTCTAGACCTCCGCGCTGTGCCGTCTCCTGCCATTGCTAATGATACGAACCTTTGAAGAGCATTTCGTATGCTCTGGCTTTCTTCCCAGTACTTGTGTGCTTGTCACTTTCCTGTTGCTGTCATAACCAATGACCACAATCTTGATGACTGAACCCAACACACGTTTATTATCTTATAGCTCTAAAGACCAGGAGTCTGAAGTAGGTCTCATTGGTATAAAATTAAAATGTTCTAAGATCTGTGTTCCTTCCTGAGGTTTTGGGGATAATTTGTTTTCTTCCCTATTTCAGCATCTAGACCAGGCATCCCCAGACTTTTTGCACAGGGGGCCAGTTCACTGTCCCTCAGACCATTGGAGGGCGGCCACATACTGTGCTCCTCTCACTGACCACCAATGAAAGAGGTGCCCCTTCCTGAAGTGTGGCAGGGGGCCGGATAAATGGCCTCAGGGGGCCGCATGCGGCACACGGGCCGTAGTTTGGGGACGCCTGATCTAGACAATGCTACTAGTTTGCCTCGTAGATTTGCACGCCCTTGGTAATAAGTACAAGGCACCTGCCACCTTTCACCAAATTCCAGCCAATGGAGGGAAACAGTGAAGGCTTGCAATGTTTGGATTGTGGCCCCTTCCACCATCTTCAGATCCGGCAATGGCCAGCCACATTCTTCTCACATCACTGTGTCTCTCCTGCCTTCGTCTTTGACGTACAGGCCCCTTGTGATGACACAGGCCTACCTGAACAATCCAGATAACCTCCTCTCTGACAAGTGACTGATTAGCTTAATAATTCCCACCTCCTTCCAGCCATGTGACCTAACATATTCGCAGGTTCCAGAGACTAAGATGTAGACCTTGTGGGAGGGCTGTTTTTCTGCATACCATACACACATATTTTAGCTCCCCTAATGCATGAGCAACCTAACATGTGGGTCCTGCTGTGCCCATTTTACAGAGGGGAACACTGAGTCCCGGAGATGTCAAGTGCATTGTCCAGAGTCCCACAGCTAAATCAGACATCTAGGGTTCTACAGGTGTCCAGCTCCACAACACTGTTTAACCTTTTTGCTAAGAAAACATGAGTGTCAGCCATCTCAAAAAAAAAAATGCAGACAAAAAATATTTATGCCCCCAGGTGATCACAGCCACTCACTTGGCTAGGACAACCCTGGTTTGCACCTGTGGCCTCTTTGACACTCAGAAAATGCTCTGGCGGGCAGTAAATGTGTCACCCACCAGAGATGACCGAAATTCTAAGTCTGTGACTCCTCATTACCTGATCCCCAATCCCCAGCTGGGGAGTCAGAGGTGGGAGTGCTGTCTGTTAGTGGAGATTTGGGATCTCTCCTGGTTGTGCATTCTTCCCTTCTCAAACGTGAATTTCAATCAACAACGACAGATGTTTATAGAAGTAACTTCTGTAAGTAGTTTCTTTGTTGGGGGGGATGGTCCTAAGACCTTTCCAAGTTTCTCTAATTGTTTTGCACTGTGGCTGTCAGAGTTGCTTTCAGAAGCTGGCTGCTAAACTTCCAAAGAAAAACGTGTTCGTGGGGAAAGATGCCTTTCCAGATGGAAGAATGGAGTGCTGAGTGCTAGTTTTATTCATTCCTTCCTCTGTTTCCCCCTTTTCTTTTTTGGTTTCTGCAGACCGTTGAAAACTGTGTGTGCATTTTAAGGAACCTCTCGTACCGGCTGGCGGCAGAAACGTCTCAGGGACAGCACATGGGCACGGACGAGCTGGACGGGCTACTGTGTGGCGAGGCCAATGGCAAGGACGCCGAGAGCTCTGGTTGCTGGGGCAAGAAGAAGAAGAAAAAGAAATCCCAAGATCAGGTAATGCAGGCTGCTTGCAGCTGCATGCAATTACCCCCTTCCCTAATTGCAACTTTGATATTTCCTCTGTATATAGAGAGAGCGAGCCCTGCATTTTCATCAGGAGGTAAAATCACTCATCCATCTGCACAATCTTCCTGTGGGAATTTCACAACTGAGACAGTGGGACATGAAATGACTTCCCCCACACCTCGCAGTTGAATAGGAAATTTCTTAAAAAAGAAAGAAAAGCCACCTGAGCCCCTAGCAAGCTCTGACATTCCACCTCTGAGTAGGCGCTGTGTTAATTCACACGTTTACCAAGGGCAGTGTCGGAGCCAGGCTTGGCGCCAACCAGGTGGCATACGAGATGTGGTATAAGAAGGGAAACAGAGAGAGGGAGACTCAAGATCCAACATGTATTTAATCGCTGGTTTTGAAGTGTTTGGATTTTCAGTCTCACACTTCCCATTGGAAATGGGGTAACAGAGAATTCACAGCCCTTCCACAGGATGGCATTAGAAGCCTGGCCATGGAGGACAATTCAGATGAATTCAGAACAGTGTTCAACTAGAGCCAGAGGCCACTTGAGAACAGAATGGCCCTCACCTGCTGTAGCTGGAAGGAGTTTCCCCTGTAGCTTAACGAAGGCCGCTAGGCAGCACCCCTGAACCTGATGCATGAGAACAGCCTCCACCCCTGTCCCGGGGAGCTCCTGAGAGACCAAACCCCTCACCACAGGCCCCCTACCAGGACAGGGAGTGATGGGAGATCAAAGTGTCCCCACCTTTGCTAATACCGGAACAGAGGCTAACTTCAGGGCCTGGAAACTGATTTGTCTCATCAAAGAACTTAAACAGAGTGCTAGCTTTGGAGACGTAAAGATGGGTATCATTTGTCCCTGGAATCTCTACTACAGGTTAAGTCAGGCTTTTAAAGAGTATTTGAAGAGTAGAGAAAATAGACAATACAAATAAAGTGAAAAAAGCAACATAAAAACAAGTGTGTGCATAAATACAGGTATAGGTGATACGGACACAGGCTGGCCGGTTTGTATGACGTGTCATATGCAAATACAAAATGCCATTTGCATGTACAAAATGTATGTGTTTCTTGAAACAGCAGAGTAAGATCCCAGAGAAGATAATGATGGATTATTTTTGTATTTCTGTATTTATAAATTTTCTACAATGGAAATTACACGTGTAATCTTTGCAAATGGCATTGAAAAATAGTGTTCAAAAAGGCACTAAGTTAATATATGCTTATAAAAATGTATTGTTTTTTCAAATAGATTTATACCTCACTGAAAGGTTCAAGAGATTATTTAACATGAAAGGTTATCTAGTCTACAACACAGACTTCCAGGACAGAGGAGCCAAATGTTATAACAGGAGTAAAACTGATCCAAAGAGTAATTGGTTAATGATGGCCTCCAGAGCTTTTTCTGTTCCAGAAATTTATGTTGACCCTTACATTTGGCATTGGTATTCTCAACCTGAAAAAGACACGATAATATTCTGCATGTCAAATTTAGCTATAAGAAAAATCTCAGAAACTTTTTTTAAAATCCCTGTAGGGATAACCCAAGAAAATATATGACACAAAGATATGTTGCATGCATGCTCTTGGTTCAAGAAGTGGTTGCTATTGAACCATGCTGGAAGTATCAGACTCCGAGCTCCCATGTGCAGAAGTGTTGGATACTCTATGCATCACGTTCTGGTCTAAGAGGTCCTTGCAAACTCGGCCATTTCTGAATCTGCTCTGTGCCTGTTGCTGAATTCTAAGGAATTGCTAGTTTCTCTAGCCCATTTCGGGCAAGCCACCCATGAAACGGTCTGCGTGTCACCTGCCAAGAAGGCGCATCACCCAAGAAGGTGCATCTCCCCCAGCAGGACCCTCCCTTCCCTCAGCAGGCCTCGGTGAAGAGTTGGTGGGGCGAATCCAAAGTTTGGGGTCCGTGGAAATAGGAGGAGACAACATGGATTCATTTCCTTTTTGTACCTTTTGTAGCAATAAGCATTTTTCGGTTTGTATTTCAACATGATATATGGCCAACGAGCCTGTGATGGCGTCCAGAGGTGGGTGCTGTGTAAACGTAGTTTGGAGGTGATGGGATGTTGTCCTCCACCAGCTGCTAGTCAGGTCAGACCTTCTTCAAGAGGTTCTCAGTGTGAGACTGACCGTGTGCAGAGGGTCACTGAGAAAGGCAAAACTAAATAAGCAGGATCTGCTGGAATTCTAAATCTCCCTTTTTGGCTTATAAATCAATTTAAAGTTATTTAATTCAAATGGGTAAAAAATATGTATCTATCCACATGGGTGAGGACACAAACCTGTCAGAATTCAAACCGGATTCTGATCCACTGTTTTTATCTGAGAGGCCTTCTTTCATGATCATCTTTGTTTCACAGCTGAGTGCACTGTAGTGCACTCAAAAATATTTAAGAGTAAATATTTTTGCTCTTTTCACCTCTTTCTTAAGTCGTAGATGCCCAGTGCATAAATCAGTGGGAAGATTCACCTGTGATATACAGGGTGATATTTTATGCAGAAAGCAATAGGAATGGGCTTCTGTTTAAAACTTCAATATCCCCTTATTTTTTCCGTGATAAAAGATACGTCTTAGAAGAACTTTGAAGGCTTCTTCCCTGTACACTTCCCAGCCCTGTCTGAGGGTCCCGCAGCCCAGCCTCTAGGCTTCTGTTCATGCTGTTCCACTGCCTGGCACTCCCTTTTCCCACTCCACTAGTTGGAGAATAATCTTTCAAGAGCACATAAAACATCCCCTCTGTTTTTCCAAGACTTCTTTCAAGTAAACAATTGCTCCTAATCTACTTCTCCATAATTTTCTTTAAACTTCTCTGCTAGTTATTATCATATGATGGGTTAAGTATAGCAATTGATCCCCAAAAACAGCAGATTTTCTGAGGCAAAAGACTGTATGGGTCTTATATTCAGTCTGTGACTTATAGCCCAATGCCTGGTCTCAATTAGGCTGTGGCCTATGGTGGCTCTTAGCTCTTGCTGTGGGTTTAATTTTGGGTGGATGCTCATAGCTGTGACTTTTCCCAGACTTGTCTGTGTCTTTCCTGGAGACCCCAAGGGCCACTGTGAGCCAAGCATCTTTGGCTGCCACCGCCCCACCAATCCCCATCGTGTTTTGAGCTGTTCCTCAGCCTTTTCATGACAGTGCTTCCTTTACCTCATTGTTAGTATTCTCAGTCTGCCATAGCCACCAAAATGAATGCACCATCTAAATTACTATTATTATCTAAGAACTTAAGTTTATATGCAACAAATATATATGTGTGTGTATGTTTCAAAGTAGCCCTGGAGAAGCAGGACTTTTGATCCTGCCAGACTAAATGAATTCTTTGCACTGAAGGCATTATGAGATAGCATGAAGTCCCATCACCTGCAAGGGTTTCTTGGGTTTTCAGGATGTCAGTGTTGGCTACCCCTTCTTCAAAAGCTCACACATTGCCTGCTATGTCATATGGATGCTCTTGACCCTAAAGTGAGACTCTAAGGCTAAATAAACAGCATGCAGTGTCCCAAGGCACAAGCATGAATTTTATTACTAGTTCAAATGACCACAATGGAGATTTGAACTTAACAGTTTCTTCTCATTCCAGACAAAATAGGTACTAATGATAAATATCTAGGTATACATGTACACACTTAACATGTATGCTATGTGAGTAAAATAGCACTAAACTCTAAGAAGAAAATAATACCCATACCTTCAGCATGCCTTCTCCTAGAAAGATTCACAATAACAACTTAACATCTGAGCATATACCCTTTCAGATGTTTTTCTGTTAGGGCCCATATCAGACAGTAAATTTCATAAGGTCTTATACTTGGTATTTCCACTGATGTAGAACTCTGGTCTCTTGAGTCTTCAGAGGTCGGGCTCCTTGTATTTTATGGGGATCTCATCTTTAGGGTGCTGGCTTCCTCCTCATGGTCCAGATTCTGGCTCTTCACATCCATAGCTCAGGAGCAGAAATGGGGGAAAGAAGACAGGAGTACCCTTTCCTTTAGGGCCCCACCCAGAAGATTCACGCATCGCTGTTACATCCTTGTGGCCGAGACTGGCTCATAATAGCACCAGAGCTGCGAGGGAGGCTGAGAATTGTAGTCTCTTGGGACAACCATTACCCTAGGTGAACTTCGGGCATTCTGTTAATAAAGAAAGAAGGCACGTAGTGGCCTATTCAGAGTGTGCAGTGAGGAGGGGCTCTGTGTCCCTATGAGGAAGGGTCTCTTATCAGTGAAATCATTTAGCATTATCTGCACATGGTAATGAAAGAAAACCCAAGTTGTATTCATTTCACTGCCTGTACATTCCCTGCAAAGAGTTCAGCCTCTTAGTACCTGCCGCCAGGTGTCAGCCCCCACCGCCCACCTTGCCGCACCACCGAGGGCCAGGAGAGGTTTGGCACAAGTCTGCTCTGTGTCACTCTGCTGACCGCTTTATGGCGGCTTATCGTTGGACACAGACTGACTTCTTTCCTTGCTGATAAACAGTTCTTCACACTGGAATGCAGGAGAGCTACTGTGAATTCCGTGGTGGAGGACTACCAATCCCCTAGTCTTAGAAAATGAGATTGCTTCCAAGTTTCTACTAATGTAAACTGTAATCCACATCTGTGTAGTTAAGTCTCACCTACACCCTTAATCACTTCTTAAGAATAAATTCTTAGAAGTGAAATAGCGAGACCAAATGCATGTTTTTAAGACTGGATACACAAACCAGAATTTATCTTGATCACTGTAAATGTCAGTGACAATTTCTGTTCATGGCCTCCGTTTGTTTCTTATCACTCCGTGGATCTGCTCTTCATGACATTTGGATGCGACTAGGTTTTTATTTCCTAATATCACAGGTTATTTTTCTTTTTTCCCAGTTTTCATTTTCTGATTAGTAACATACTTTTTCTTTTGCCGCTTAATATCCTTTCCTTTCTAACCATCTGCTTCTTTCAGCTGCTGCCCATTCCTCTTGGCGG